ACCACCTCCCTGGGCAGCCTGTTCCAACATCTAATCACCCTTCCTGTGAATAAATTCTTCCTAATGTCCAACATAAACCTCCTGCAACACATAATTTGTGGTTGTTTAGACCAGCAATGGTCTCCAATTTAGGGGCAGAAGCAGCCTGTGAAATGGTTAAACACAACTAACGTGGAGAAGCACAAGTGGAGTCCTTTGGGGCATCAGCCATGTCTGGGTTGTTTTCCCCTCACCGCCCCCAGACACTCCAGGTCTCCTCACCACCACAACTCCACTGCTGTCTGTGCATGACCCAAGGACACACAGTGACACTGTGACACACACAGTGACACCGGATCTCCCAGGTTATCAGAGTCCAGTGTGCTGGGAGAGCCACATCTCCTGTCAGCTCCCACGCACACACCAGCTGCTCCTGCCTGTGACTGACAGGGTTTGTTGTGCTCACAAGTCTCCATAAGGCCTCTGCACAGCTTTTTAAGACCGTCAGGTCTTTCATGTTGGGAGGAGCCCTCAAGAAATCACCCTCACAAGCAGGTCTTGTGATCCTCACAAGCTTTTCAGCCACCCTCACAGCACTGCTGAGGACCATTCGACTGAGGAAACCACTTCCTTGGAGTTGTAAGGGAGCTGACAGCAAAAAGAGGAGGAGAATTGCTGTTCCTTGGTCTAACCAACCACCCTGCACAAGGAAGAGCCCTGTAGGTTGGCCCAATGCCCAAGCACCTTTGAATCTTCTCTGTTTACAGTTCTCAAAGCATTTCATTTTGCTCTTAATACAAAGACCAGATCATCTTGTTGCAGGTGAAGAACGATAGGATGAATTATAGGATGCTTTTATAACGGCGGGATGTATTTCTAGAACATTCACAAGTCAATCTGTGAGTTCACAATTCAAAATAAATTGCCCTTGAGGCACGTGGCAGGTGATGTGAGCCGGAAGGAGGTTTGCAGTGCTGTCACCCACACCCGTGTCCACAGGGAACAAGGACAAGCTGTTCCTGTGTGTCCTCAGCCTTGTTAACAAAAATGCCACCTGTCCTTCAGGCACTGACACCACGAGTGCCAGCGAGGCCTCGTTCCGTGGGTAAGGGGACAGGGACAGCTCAGGGCATTAACAGCGACGCCTGACGTCCTTCCCCTCTTCTGCACGTTTGTGTTTCTTTGTTTCCTGTGCTGATCTCTGATTCCCTTTCCCTCCGTGCCACAGGAATTGGGTTTGGCCTCTATTCCCACCGGCCCACGGGAGGCTCCTCTGAGGCACCTCTCACCTGTCTGCTGCCAACAAAGGCAGGAATGGGGAACCAACAGCCCCACGGTGCCATTGCTGACCCTGAGGTCTCCAAGGCAGGATGAAGCCTCCTGCCAGAGCACTGTGTTAGTCCCACATCCCTGCAGGTCAGTGGCTGAAGTTAACCCAAGTTACTGGGAATTCAGTAAGGGTTCAGGACCCACTACTGGAGAGGTTTTTTAAGGGACCTGTATTAGACACACTGAGAAATTCAGGAAACATGAAACACTTGGGAAGGAGCAACAAAGCTGAGCAACAGGTATGGAGAAATAAAGCAGCAAATCCTGCTCCCTCCAGGCAAACTCTCTTTTGCCACTGCTGCTGGGCTTTAAAAACAGTGACAGGGATGACTTCCAGAAGATAACTGAGCCTGCTGCATCCCAGTTATCTGGGACAGGCAAAAAGGCTTCTGGGCAGGGGGAAAGCCAGCAAGGAAGGGACCAGGAAATGGTCTCCTGGAGGAGTGTGTGAGATCTCCCTCCCATCACTACACAGGAAATGCACATGCAGCTCCCCCTCCCATCCAAGGAATCGGAAACCAGTCTCTTGGAAAAGGGACTTGAACTGAAATGCAACTTTCAAGCTCATCTTGTGCTGGCTGGGTCTGTTTTTAAGGCACTCACCAAAAAAACCTGATCCCTGCACGTGGTCTTTTAGCTGCCTGGGCCATTCCTTTGCCTCCTCCAAGGGCATTTTCCAGTGTCTTGTCACCAGCTCAGCTGCTTCCTCCAGGTGTCAATCCAGCCTCCTCCAGCCCCCCAAGGAGCAGTGGGATGTACCTTTGGGCTGAAAGAGAACACAGAAGAACAGATTGCTGTGACAACAGGCATGTCAGAGGAGATAAAAATACCTCCTCACCAGCCTGGTGAAAGTCAGTAACAGAAAATCCCTGTGGTCATGTGGCTTTCAAACCTGCACAAACTCAGCCCTGTCCCAGCACTGACTGCCTGGCCAGGCCCAGGCCTCTGCTCTGCAGGGACATCTCTGAGTTAGCACCAAAGAGCTTCTTCCGCTCGGCAACGCTGGAGTAGGAGGAAGGAATTAGAGGTCCTTTGTGCATCTAATACCCAGGATTATTCTCATGGAATATTTCCTTGGATCAGTCCAGCTGACTTGGGCCACAGTCTCGTACAGGCTCCAGTGAGTGGGGAGGGAATGCAGCCGTGGCAGGGCTAGGGTTTTACACATTACAGCAATGGGGTGAGAAAACTATTTACACCATTATTTACAAGAGCATGCAGTGACAGGACAAGGGGGAATGGTTTCCCACTGCCAGAGGGCAGGGTTAGATGGGATATTGGGGAGGAATTCTTCCCTGTGAGGGTGGCGAGGCCCTGGCACAGGCTGCCCAGAGAAGCTGTGGATGGATCCCTGGAAGTGTCCAAGGCCAGGTTGGAGCAACCTGGGCTAGTGGAAGGGTGTCCCTGCCTGTGGCAGGGGTGGAATGGGATGAGCTTTAAGGTCCCTTCCAACCCAAACCATTCTGGGATTCTATGAAAACACTTTTACATTGACAATTCCCATATTGGGTGAATGGAGCCGTTTTAAAGCCTGGCAGTCTCCACAGCAAGTACATTCTACAAACCCTAAAACGAGCAGTCTCAATTATTTACTCATTTATAAAGTTAAAACTATCAGACAGACAGAACCATCTCTCAGACAGACATTCCCCTCTGACTGCCATGTATTTTTGGCTGAAGGTATCTCTCCAACTCTCTAACAGGAGGGGGGAGCCGGGGGGGTCAGGCTCTCTTCCCAGGGAACAAGGGACAGGAGGAGAGGAAACAGCCTCAAGCTGCAACAGGGGAGGTTCGAGTTGGACATCAGGGGGAATTTCTTCCTGGAAAGGGTTGTTAAACTTCTGAGGGGGCTGCCCAGGAAGGTGGTGGAGTCACCACCCCTGGAAGTGTCCAAGGAATGACTGGACGTGGCACTCAGTGCTCTGGGCTGTTTGACAAGGTGGTGACTGGTCACAGGTTGGACTCGATGAAATTGGAGGTCTTTTCCAACCCAATTGATTCTCTTTCTAGAGGTTAAACCAGAAGTTTGGGTCCCTTTTTCTATCAGTGGGGTTTTTTACCTGAAAAAGAATTAGATCCTGACTTTATCCAGCGTCACAGACCAGGTAAATCTGCACCAGGTAAACCAGCAAAATGCCAGAGAATCACTTCGACCCCTCCAGCTGCAGAGCGGAGCCTCCCAGGGAGCTGCCACTGGAGCAGGTCCAAGGATGAGGGTATTTGCACACCTGAAAGGTGCAGACAGAGAAAAGGGGGTAAAACCGAGATAATTCTAGAGCCAGATCTCTCAGGAATGTTCTCTTTGGGCAAACGCAAGACCCCATGGCCTTGGAAAGGCCCAGCATATCTTTTGGAACAAGGACAGGACAAAATGAGTCAATGGTCTCTAATACAAGAGCTTGATGGCAGGACTGCAGCCTTCGAGCCTGGAGGATCACCAATATCATCTATGAGCGTAGATCGGCCAAAAACATAACCAAGGGCACCATTGCAGCCCGGGATCTCCCCTCTGATGGGCACAGCAGCACCACTGCTGTGAGGGGAGAGCAGCGGCTGAGGGGGAACGGGGTGTGAGGGGAGAATGGGGTGAGGGGGAATGGGGCTGTGAGGGGAAACGGGGCTGTGAGGGGGGAATGGGGCTGTGAGGGGGGAATGGGTTGTGAGGGGGGAATGGGGCTGAGTGAGGGGAGAACGGAGCTGAGAGGGGAGAACGGGATGTGGGGGGATGGGGGCTGGGGGGGAATGGGGCTGGTGAGGGGGGAATGGGGCTGTGAGGGGGGGAATGGGCTGTGAGGGGGGGAAGGGGCTGTGAGGGGAGAATACGGAGCTGAGAGGGGAGAACGGGATGTGAGGGGGAATGGGGCTGTGAAGGGGGAATGGGGCTGTGATGGGAATGCCTAAGCATGTGAGGGAAAATGGGGCTGCGAAGGAAAATGGAGCTGCGAGAGGAGAGCGGGTGTGAGGGGAGAGCCCGAGGCTGTGAGGGGAGAGCGGGGCCGTGACGGCAGAGCGGGGCTGTGAGAGGGAAACAGGGATGTGAGGGGGAAATAGGGGTGTGAGGGGAGAGCCCGAGGCTGTGAAGGGAAAATGGGGCTTTTGAGGGCAGAGCGGGGCGTCCCGCTGCAATCCCAGGACGGAGGCGGCCAGCCCCTCGACGGGAGCCGCGCGGGAGCTGCCGCGCCAGTCCGCCGAACACCGCGCGGCACGGCAGCGCCCCGGCAACCCCCAAACGGGACATGCCGCACCTCCACTCCCATCCCCTCAGCTCTGCGGGGCGCGAAGGAGACGCGCACCCTCCTCAGCACCCGGCCCCGTCCTCTGCCTTCCTATTGGCCACGACGGTGCTGCCTGTCACGGAACCGTCACGCGGCAGCCAATGGGCTCTCAGGGAGCGGGGCGGGGCGGGGCTCGGCAGGGCGGGGCCGGGGGCTGTGGCGGTGGCGCGCGGCCGTGTGAGGGGCAGGTAGGGCGGGGGGGCCGCGGGCCGCGCTCGGGCGGGCTGAGGGGGGAGCGGCCCCTCATGGCCCTCACGGCCCCGCTCCGCTTCAGCCCCCCGGGGCTGCGGGGCAGCTCGGGCAGGGGGGCGGGCTGGATCACCGCAGGCATCCCGGGAGGCCGGGCTGTGGGAGTCCCTGGAGGGCTGAGCATCCGCGGGCCTTCGGCGGGAACTGAGGGGAGCCCGGTCGGTGTCGGGGGTGGTTCGAGCACAGATGGTGCAAAAGGGGGTCGGATCCATCGCAGTCTTAGAAGGGCTCCGGGTGATTTTCACAGAATCATCCCAGAGTGGTTCGGGTTGGGAGGGACCCTAAAACTCATGCAGTGCCACCCCCTGCCCTGGGCAGGGACACCTTCCATTGACCAAGTTGCTCCAAGCCCCGTCCAGCCTGGCCCTGGACACTCCCAGGGATGGGGCCGTTCAGGGTGGGGAGGTTACTGGGAGAAGGGGCACGGGCTGGGTGTGTGGGAGCATCACTCTAGGGGTTCATTCCTGGGGGCTGCCACGCTCAGTTACAGCCTCAGGACCTTCACCTTAACCACCCATCTCCTTTGGGGCAGATCCTTTTGGACAGACGGCTGCTGTGGGCCGGGCTGCTCGTCTGGAACACAGTAGCTCTAAGGCACGTGTGCATGTGCCCCTTTGCTGTCAGAGTCAGAAAGAACCACAGATAAATTATCCTTTGTGTGGCCGTGGGTGTTTTACAGTTCACGGTGGGTGGACTCTGTCCAGGTGCCATTCTGAGTTTTTCTTTAGGGTAGAACAGATCATGTGTTTTCCCCTGCTTTTGTTAAAATGGCATTTATGAGTTGACCAGATGTTCTGAATTCAATTGAGAGGCTAAATCTCAATTCCAGGCACCCGCCCTACTGTTGAGTTAAAAATTCAAACCAAAGTGCAAACCCACGTACAATGGGGGACGTGCAGCTCAGCTCAGTCCTGTTCCCCAGATTTGTGGTGAGGACCTGAAACCCTGACATGCAGGGGAGTCTGCCAGGAAAGGACCGCTGTTTGAGGAGATTGTTGAAACTCTGGTGCAAAGGGTTAATAAATCCTGGGCTGAGGAGATAGGACTGGAATGCATTTTGGTGGGTTTTGGCAGGCCAGCTTGTTAGAAGTGGCTGGTGTTTTGTTTAGATAAAGAAGAAAGGAACTTGGTGTTGGTATTCCATTATGTGAGTTTATAGTGTTGTTAAAGATAAAGCAAAGAATATTGCAGTGATGTAAATCCCAATGGAATCAACATCAGGTGATGGAGTAGAAGTACCCGGAGTGAGCTGTGGGATTAACGTGGAGCTGATTACTGAAGGTGTAAATTCCCTTCCCTGAGTAAAGCTCTGCTGAAGTGGCTTTTCTGAGCTGTCCCAAGGTCCCCAAGACCTGCTCCTCCTTTTCTGCCCCTGAGGGTGAACACCAGCCTGATCAAGGCCAGCTTGGCCTTGTGCAGATAAATTAATATTCTTATGGACTTGTGCAAACACACATCTCTGGAACAGCTTTATCCTTGCACATGGGGGCTGGAATGAGATGATCCTTAGGGTCCCTTCCAACCCAAACCATTCTGGGTTCTGTGATTAATGAATTTATCAAGCTGCCAGCTTGGAATAATTGTAAAATCGGGATTTTACTGAACAGGTATCTTAGGCTAAAGGAGGTTTAAGAATCAGTTTGGAATACTTAGGAATATTCCACCCCTTTCCCATGGCTCATGGCTAATGATAGGCAAATACACTGGTTCCTTCAGCAGCAAAACTTTTGAGTATCAGAAGATGAGTGATTTAACTTTTATGACACAAAAGTTTATTTAACTTTATGACAGCAGTGAGGCCCCAGTGTGCTGCAAGGTCGCTCTTGCTCTGTGGTTTTCCTGGTTCTGTATTTTTTACAGAGCACAACTGTCAGCAGCAAAATACCTGTTGCAGGGCTCCACAGCAGTAAGAGAGGAACAGGAGGTTTTGTGCAAGTCAAACTGTGAGGAAATCAGGGATGTTTTTGCGGGGCTGGGGTAGTTTGGATGTGTGTTTGTAGGGGGTGTGGAAGCTCTTCAGATAGGAGTGTTTTTTGGGATCTCTGTAAAGTGTTCCCAGGAGTTTCTGGCTGGCATCAGCTGTGATTCAGGGATAAAATCCCCCTTCCTGGGCAACACTGAGGCGAGTGGGCCAAAAAAAGAGCTCTGACTCCCTCGTTGTGGCTGCGTTCAGATGAGATCCTCCATCCTGGATGTGAGTTTTTGTTCCCTCAGGCTCCCAGGATGTTTGCCCAGTGCTCCCGGAATTCCGTGAGCCCCGTGGTGCTGCTGGTGCTGCTGGGCTGCCTCCTGTGCCCCCCAGCACAGGCCAGCAAGGTGGGTGACAGCGTCGGGCACCGTGGGAGGGGCACAGCAGAGCCAGGACGGCAGAGGAGCAGCTGGGGATGTTTGCAAAGATAAGGAATGGATTTGTGGGGCGTTTGCTGTGTAGGGCTGGGACTGCTGTGACAGTGGCCCCTGCCCTGCCTTCTGCTGGGCTTTGGAGTTTGCATTTTAAAATGTGTTTGAAAAGCACCTGGCTGGAGGTGCTGGAAGCGGCCGAGGTGCTCTGGGACATGGAAGAAGGGAAGTGGGGGGAGGTGTTCTCTGGGGTGGAGTGTTCTCTGTCCCAGAGGACGTTCAGCCTGTCCCCAGCCCGGGGTGGTGAGGGTGGCAGAACTGGGGGTTCCCTCCCTCACTGGCTCCCCTGCCCCCGCAGAGCTCCGAGGACATTCGCTGCAAGTGCATCTGCCCCCCGTACCGGAACATCAGCGGGCACATCTACAACAAGAATGTGTCCCAGAAGGACTGGTGAGTTGGGCTGGAAGCCTGAGGGCTCAGTCCATGAGAGCCACCAACGCTGCAGAGTTGGCAGCTGGTGCCAACCCTGCCTTTTGTTTGCAGAGGGAGCTGTGGTAGGTGATGTTCAACCCAGGCCAGGGGCGGTTTTTAAACAGAAATTGAGGAATCTGGGATGATTTCTTAACCCACGGCTCTTGGCAGGTGTCAAGTGTACCCTCCAGTGCCCCTCACCTGGACTGGATCCCTGCAAAAGGCACTTGGACAGTCTGTCCCAGGACTAGCTGAGCTGTGAGGGGAGCTCCTAAAACCGGATTGGCGTTATCAGCCTGCAGGGAAAGCTGGGACACACAAAAGTGTCACCCCAATGTCCTTCCACAGAGCACTGGTTTCACCTTCACCTTGTCCTGCTGCTGACCTTGGTTTGTTTGTGCTGCAGCAACTGCCTGCACGTGGTGGAGCCCATGCCAGTGCCCGGGAACGATGTGGAGGCCTATTGCCTGCTCTGCGAGTGCAAGTACGAGGAGCGCAGCACCACCACCATCAAGGTAAGGGCAGCTCTGTCCCCGGGCCTGGCTCCTTCTCCTGGCCAGGCCGTGCCAGCCCAGGCACTGCTGCACTGCTGGGTTCCTGCAGAAGAGCCCAGAAGGAGAAAATCCAACTGTCACGGTGGGTACACTGTGGCAGTGCCAGGAGCTCACTCGCTACAACTCCCTGGAAGGAGGCTGGAGCCAGGTGGGAACTGGGCTCTGCTCCCAGACAGCCAGTGACAGGAGGAGAGGACACAGTCTTAAGCTGCACTGGGGAGATTTAGGTTGGACATTAGGAAGAAATTCTTCACAGAAAGGGTGATTACATATTGGAAGGGGCTGCCCAGGGAGGCAGTGGAGTCACTGTCCTTGGAGGTGTCCAAGGAATGACTGGACGTGGCACTTGGTGCTCTGGGCTGGGTGACAAGGTGGGGATCGGTCACAGGTTGGACTCGATGATCTCAGAGGTCTTTTCTCACCTAACTGATTCTGTGATTTCTGTGTCTGAGTCAGGAATGCTCCTGGCTGTGAGGAGCTGCAAGAAGAGTCTTCTTGCTGGGGATGTGTGACAGTGCCAAGCACCTCTGAGCAGGAACCCATCTCTTGGTGTCCTCTCACGTGCAGCACGTGGCACAGTGAGGAGGGTCAGCACAGCCTGTGCAGTGACAGCACATCATCAGCCCCTGGCAAGGGCAGGAGACCTTGTGAGCAAAACGAGAGTGAGAGAAGAGATCAAACACCAGAGGCAGCTGCAAAGGACCTTGTGACCTCTGTGGTGCTTCTTCCCCACGGTGCTGATCCTTTCCCACGTGCTCCTCTCCAGGTGATCATCATCATCTACCTGTCGGTGGTGGGGGCCCTGCTGCTGTACATGGCCTTCCTGGTGCTCGTGGACCCCCTGATCCGCAAGCCCGACCCCTACACCCACCCCCTGCACAACGAGGAGGAGAGCGAGGTGAGGCTGCTCGTGGGGCAGACAGGGTGACAGGAGAGTGGGTGACAGGGAAACAGTGACCTCCTGTCTCCTCTGAGCCAGGGAGGGACCAGCACTGCTGCTTTGGGGGCACCCACACAGGGGAACACTTCAATCAGATCTGTGCAAGTCCTGCTGAAGCACAGGGAACAATCAAAGTTCTAACCTTAAAAGGTCTCAAAGTTCTACCCCTAACCCTGACCCTGTCCTCTGTGGCAGGGGGTGACGTTGTCCCAAGTGGCCTGAATTTGGTCTGTCTGTCCAGATGGAACCAAAACTCAAACGGATCCTATTTGTGCAGTGGCCCAGGTGGAGTCACTTGGTGCTGAGCTTCCAGGGAAGGATGGGCTTAAGTAGTTGCTGGAACATCTTATAGACACGTCAAAGAGCAGCCTCGAGGGGCTGTTTGACCCTGCTCTGGGGCTGGGCCCTGTTGTAGCCAGGCTGTTGGTCCTTGTGTTTCTCCCCAGAGCAGAATTTCATTCAGATCCTATCTTTCTGGGGGACACTGGCATACAAAGCTTGGTCAGAAAGATCAGGACCTAGCAGCAAGGAGAGAGTCTCTCTGTCTCTCACACACATACACACATTTTGGGGGAGGACAAATTTCTTGCTGCACGAAATTCCTGCAATTTTAGCACTGGATCAGATTGTCCTGTTTGTATTTTAAGTATAAACTATTTGGCTCAATTCTTTCATACTATGATATAAGTGAGGAGTAGCTGCTCCAGTGTGCCCAGTCCCTCCATTACCACCCTCTGCTGAAAAAGGAGGTCCTGCAGGAGGAGGTGAGCTGTATCCTAGAATTGTGGGTTTGCTCCCTGCACCACAGCAATGATCCAGAGTTAGATCCGGGTGCACTCTGTCAATGCCTGGTGTGAGGTGAGCTTTATCTTAGTGCTGGGTTCTGGGACAGGCCTTGGTGCTCGTGTGCCACGACAGATGCCCATCCACAGCAGCAGTCTCTGGCTCTGTTTCAGGGGGTGCTGTGGTTCACTGTGGCTCCTTGCAGACTCCAAGCAGTGGGTTTCCAGCAGAGCTTTAGACTTGGTGCAGTTCCTGTCCTGGGGGCTTTTTTATGGGTGGTCCCCACGAGAGAGGAGTTGGGGGGCTGATGTTGAGGAGCTCTGGAAAGGTGGTTCTTCCTCAGGACAACTCAAGCCTTGAGTTGCTCCTTCAGTTGTGGTTTCTCCCGGAGTCAGTTGTGGTTTCTCCCGGGCTGGGCACTCCCAGATTGCCACACCGCTCCCTTCCCTCGCAGGACACTCGCTCCTTGGCCGCAGTGCCCACCCCAGCGGGAGCCAGAGCCAACACGGTGCTGGAGCGCGTGGAGGGGGCCCAGCAGCGCTGGAAGAGGCAGGTGCAGGAGCAGAGGAAGACGGTGTTTGACCGGCACAAGATGCTGAGTTAGATCCCTGTGGGCCCTCGGCATCGCTTCCCAGGACACGGGGCAGCTCCTGGAGCAGCCGCACAGGGGTCACCGTCAGGACACCGCGGTGTGGGACCGAAAGCTCCAACCCTTCCCTGATTCACCGTCTCCATCAGCCCCAAATGCCTCCCCTGGTTCTGGCCCTGCCCTTCCCCTCTCAGAGCCCAGAGGCTCCTTCCCCTGCCCGGCTGATCCTGGGGCTGTGTGTGGAAGCCCCGGACTCCTGGGGCTCCATCAGCCCACCCCACCTCAGACAGGGATCTCAGCACGGAGCGCTGGCAGCTGGCTGAGTCTTCTGCCGATAAAAACAGTGGGGTAATTTTGATGTGAGATAAATTACGTGATGCTCCTCCAGGATGAAGCAGTCACCTCCTCCTCCTCTTCCTCCGGCGTGCACTGATGTTAACTGGGCATTGTGGTGCACGTGTGCAGCACTGGGAGGAAGAGGAGGGGGTTCCTGCCAGCTGCTGCTTCCACTTATCCTGGTGTACATGGAGAGGTTCCACACCCCAGTGAAGTCTGTCCAGGTTTACACCAGCACAACCAAGGCTGCAGCTTGTTTCTGTGCAGGTGAACATCACCAACCCAATTAGTACCTGCAGCAGGAAGAGTCCAGCAGGTAAAACCAGCTGATTTACATTTATATCTTTTCATTCTTTAGCAGTGGGTAAAAACCTCCTGGGGAGAAACCTTTCTGTTTGTACCTGTGCTGGTGACCCTTGGTGTTCTCCCGGTGAGGGCAGAGCATTTGTGTCCAAGAGAACCAGGGCAAAGGCTCTCCTGGAGCACTGGAAACACTTGTCTGGGCCTTGGGGCCCTGGGGAGGGGACACTTGAGCTACTCAAAGCACTCTGAGAGCTCTGGCCAGACTTGGGCTTGTGTGGAGGAAACCAAAGTGATTCTGTGATGTGCACACTGAGAACATTTGGAACGTCAGGAGGTGCTGGAGTTCATCGTGTAGCATCTCTCTATTAAATGCAGACAAAGATCCACTACCTGTGTGGCTTTTTTGGGGGGAAAAAGTCCCCTCATGCCAGGTCTGGGGCTCTCCAGTGCCTTCCAGTGCCTGGCAGGTGAGTTGATGCCACTCAAGCCAGAGCTGTGGTTATGGCATTCAGGTGTTTGGGCACTGCAGGTGTGTCCCTGGGTTGGAAAAGACCCTCTGAGATCTTCCAGTCCAGTCTGGGACCATGATTATGACCCTGCCAGACAAACCCAAACAGAAGCTTCTGGGGGCCTGTGTGTTCCCCAGTTCCCCTCCAGCCCCTCACTGGGCTGAAAAGGACCCTGAGCTCCACGTTATCCTGAGGTCACATTTTCCTTGACCCGTCCTTGTTCCCTGGAGCTCAGTTCTGGACCTTTCTCCCCCTTGTAGAAACCCCATCTTGCCTGTCCTTTCCTCCAGGTGGGAATCCTGCATGGACACAGGGTGTGGTCCCTGGGAACTGATTTCTTTCCTCCCTCGAGGGGGGAACAAGCAGCCCGTGAGAGGCTGAGCCGGCACGATGGGTCCATCTGGTGGCCACCGCCCACCTCGGTCAGCACCGGGACCTGGCTGGTCACCAGTCAGGGGCTTTGGGGAGCACCAGCCCCAGACCTTCCCCTGACCCCTCCCAGGAACAGCTCGGAAATGGGATAGGAGGGGAGGAAAAGAATGCAGTTAGCAATCAGGAGTTTGGGTGAGTTAGAAAACTTAGGGAAGGGACGATGTGGAGAGGCTGCAAAAACTGCCAATGCCTGATTAATAACTTGATTTGTTAATTAATTGATCAGCTTTGTCCTGTACATCATCCTCCCTGGGAGGAAATGTTTTCTACTGCCCAGGCTCTTTCCCTGCCTGTACCTGCTCCACTGCTCACTGGGGCATCCCCTGAGTGGGCACATCCTGGTGGGCCCTGCTCCTGGCCCCGTCCACATCCCACAGCAGTGCTTCCC